GGGCCAGATGGTTTCAGTGCAGAATTCTACCAGGAATTCAAAGAACAGCTAATACCAATACTACTCAAATTGTTTCACACAAAAGACACAGAAGGATCATTGCCAAACTCTTTTCACGAGGCTGTAATTACCTTGGTACCCAACCCACACAAAGTCACAACTAAGATAGAGAACTAAAACCAATCTCCCTCATGAACATCAATGCAAAAATACCCAATAAAATACTGGCAAATCAAATCCAAGAACACATCAGAAAAATAATTCACCATGATCAAGTAGGCTTCATCCCAGAGATACAGGGATGGTTCAATATACAAAATTTCATCAATGTAATCCACCACATAAACAAACTGAAAAAGGAAAACCAAATGATCATCTCACTAGATGCTGAAAAAGCCTTTGACAAAATCCAACACGCCTTCACGGTAAAGGTTTTGCAGAGATCAGGAATAGCAGGAACATACCTAAACATGATAAAAGCAATATACAGCAAACCAACAGTCCTTCCCCTATTATGAGAATGATGACTACCTTAAATGTCATCCTAGAGCTTTCAACTAGCAGCTGATGAAAGCAGAAGCAGAGAGCCACAGCTAAGCACTGAGCCTGGAATCCAGTTGTACAGAGGGAGGGGTGACAAACAAAGGGGTCAAGACCATGCTGGGAAAACCCAAAGAAACAGCCAACCTGAGCAAGTAGGAACTCATGGACTCCAGTCTGACAACTGGGGAACCAACATAGCACAAAACCTGGCCTCCTGAACATGGGTGTTAGCTAGGAGGACTGGGCAGTCCATGGGGCCTCTGGCAGTGGAGCCCAGATGTATCCCTAGTGCACAACAGACTTCTGAAACCCAATTCCCAGGAGGGATACTCTCTTAGCCTAGATACACAGGGGAGAGCCTAGGCCCTGCCCCAAATGACTTGAAAGATTTTGATGATCCCTCACAGAAGACCTCTCCCTCCCTGGGGAGTGGGTGGGGGATGGGATAGGGAGGTCTGTTGCGGGCATGGGAGGATGGGAGGGAGAGGGAACTTGGAATGATATGTAATATAAGATTGTTTATAATTTAAATAAAATTTATATAAAAAACAAAAAGAAACCTAACAAAAAAATTAAAAAAGAAAGAAACCCCTTCACTCGAGCTCCTGTAATTCCAATAAGCTTATCATTTCAATACCAATAACGAAAGTAAATCTGATTAAAAGAAAGTTCAACTGGTCATGAACTGAAACCTGGAGAGAGAGGCCAGGCCGCAGTTATCTGTGCCATCAGCTGTTTCCATTGCTCAGAAATCAAGGTGCAGCCTCCAGTAAGTGATTCATAGAGGAAGATTTATCTGCAAAGGTTGCTGGGGCTTTTGTTGAAGCTGTAGAAACTGCCTATAAAGCCACCCTCTCCCATGATGCTTCCCCACCCAGTTTAAAAGCATTAGAATTGGTACCACCTCGGAAAATGCTGGAGTCCCCAGAAGGCCTGATAATCCGGCTGGTGGAGAAAGGTGTGCAGCATGCGAAGGTGAGTGTCCCTGTCACCACCAATGTGCTGTGATGTCACTGGTCTGTACCTGCTTTATTGAGGGCCAAAGAAGGACAGGGTGGAGGGAAAGGACTGAGAAAAATTCCATGTTCTCCTTCTAGACCTTCAAACATTTTCCACAGATAGATGGACTTGCCAAATCATGCAGGACTAGAGATCAGGTGTGCTTGTAAGAACCGAAAGGACACTGAGAATGGTCACTCCATCCCAGTAACTGTGGTCCAAAGTAGGAGACACTCATGCCTCTCCGCAGTTTCATCACTTTCCATCTGTCCTGTTTGGTCCTTCTAGGGTTGGCTTTTGCCAGTTAGAGGTGTGGAAAAGAGCATGGGGAACCCAGAGGACAGAAATCTGTCCAAAGACATGAGCAAGGGTGAACTTGGGAGCTGGAATGGACAAGGGAGGTCAGTTCCCTGAACCCATCTGGGGTCCTTCCTGAAGAAGGAGAGAGCAGGTGGGTGGGAGGAAGCTCCAGATGTTGGAATCGTGTAAAAACAATTCTTGTTTTGTGTATTTGTTGCAGAGATCTAATGGTTTTTGGATAGGCTGGCAGCCAGAAAGCCCCAGCAATCCTGTCTCAGTTCCCCCACCCCCCATATAGGCATGGGCAGCCAGTGTTCTTACCCATAGTGCCACATTTTGTGTGTGTTGTTTGTTTGTGTGTGTGTGTGTGTGTGTGTGTGTGTGTGTGTGTGTGTGTGTGTGTGTGTATTTAGCCAGGCATGGTGGCACATGCCTTTAATTACAGCACTTGTGGGACAGAGGAAGGCAAATTTCTGTGAGTTCAAGGCAAACCTGGTCTACATAGAATTCCAGCCCAGCCAGGGCTACATAGTGAGACCTGTTTTCCCTCCCTTCTTCCTGAAAAGTATTTAATAACCTTTCCAACACAGACTCTACTAATAAGAACTATAGCGATCTGAAGTAGGGCGGGCTGGTGCCTGCTTCCTGGCCAGTAGCTGCATTTCTCTCTAGGCTGTGTTCTTCTCCAGCGAATGTCTGACCCCTCCTTCTGTTTTCTTCAGGAGGAGTTGGGGCTCAGGCTTGGATGAACTGCCCATTCCACCTTTTAGACAGCTCTGAGCTATTTGTTGTTACTGTTCTGCTTTTGAAGACAAAGGCTTGACTGTGGCTCCATTGGTGGAGCACTTGCCTAGCAGGCATGAGGTCCTGGGTTCAGTCCCTTAGCACTGTATAACCAGGTGTCGAGGCACACATCTGTAAAAGCAGCATTAGGGAGATGCAGGAAGGAGGAGCAGAGATTCAAATTCAAGGTCATCCTTGGCTGCAAAGTGAATTATAGGTCAGTCTGGACTATATAAGACCTTGTCAAAGAAAGAAGAAGACGAAGAAGCAGAAGAAGAAGAAGAGGCG